ACTCTATTATCATCGAGATTCTACGGTATCGGAAGTTAACAATCGATTAGAAATGAATTTTTCATCGATGAACAAATCTGTAGACGCCGTTTTACAAGGGCGTGGATTTTCAACTGTTCGATCATCTCACGTGCCCGATTCCCTGAAGAAACGCATAGCGAATTCTGATACAACGTATGGAACGATGAGATTACGATCGTAAGAAAAGGATGAAACGTCGATTTGTGAAGGAATACACGAGGAAGAATGGCCAAAGGCAAGGCACGAGTAAGTCAGAGTCGAAACTCGGAATCGATGCGGCCTGATAGCTCTTCTACTTACGACTGAACACCGAATACTTTCATAATAGAGACACGTTGAGCTGATAAAGATCTTAACGAGTGAGATTCTAATAGAGAAGAGATACATTTACCAATTTAACCCTTTCTTTCTCCTTCGTTTTTAGTATTTTTCCCTTCTTTTCTTACATCCGACAAACCAAATAGAAAAGTGCATTAGCGTAAGCTACACGAGAGATTCGAGGAGTGTGTACGATATCGTGTCGTACAGCTCTTAGAAACACGGCGGTGGCGTGTTCGTACGCGTAACGCACGCAGTAGGAAAAAGTAACTTTCCGCAGAAAATTAAATTGCCACGCTAAATCAATTCGCGCTCGGGGCGCGAACGCATAAAGTAGCTTAAAATATGTATCGCCGCGGAAATCTTAAGAACGTTACAACGAATAATCCTCCTCCCTGTTCGGCCGGTCTAATGTGGAAGCGACTCGTAAATTATGGTTAATAGGTACGCACGGTTTTGTACGGGCAATTAACAATAACCAACGACGAGCGAGCGAAAGGGAGGTGAATACGGTGGACGACCAAACGGCGAAACCCTTAATTTCCTCGGCGTTGTTGCGTGACGCAGCGACGAAAAGAAATCGACCGTGAGATAATAAGAGAGAGAGAGAGAAAGAGAGCGAGCGAATGGAAAAGAAACTTCTCTTTGACGTGTGTCGTTCTAATTCGTAAAAGAAAAACGCCGTTCACATCACCGTTCGCATCATGGCAAACGGATCGAGCGTTATTAATCGTCCGTAAATATTCCGCGGCGATCGATACCGCTGCTTCGAACGCGATACGAAGGTAACAATAAATTTAGCTCGAATAGCTTTCGAAGGGTAAATGAGAACGAAATATCGTTGTTCCGAAGAGAAAGAGACGGAGAACACAGCCATGTAAAAGTAAAGGACGATTAGAAAAAGATCCAGTGGAGATCGCTGGCTCCGTGTCCCCGCGACGGACTATGAGAAAATCCTTTTCCAATGGAAGATTCTTAATATTACACTTACGCTATGGCTCACAAGTATTTGCAAAGATGCGACAGATTTTTCGAAGAAGAAGAAGAATCGAGGGAATCTGTTCAACTGAGGTCCAGATATTTAAATTGTCGAAAATAAGAGACATCGTGAATAAACGGATAAATAGACAATTATGAGCAACGGTGTATTTGGCAAGACTAAATCGCCTACGATACACCAATAATACAATACAAAGAACTTTTTACTCCGGTGGTGTAATAGACGAAAAAACGACAACCATCGATAGAATATCTACGAAGAAGAATGAATCGTCGGTTTTGTATAGAATGAAAAAATCACATTTAACATCGAGGAGCATTTTCGAAGCATCGAAGAATTGACAGACTTGACGATTTGAGAAGAGACGGCGCGGGTTCGCTGAGCTTGGCATTTGAGGATGGTGTCGTTAAAAAGCGTGTCGTCCCGTTCTCCCGCGTGTGCTCGTATATTTCGGCGCGTTTTGCGAAGAAAGCTCGTGGCTAGGGAAGAGACGTTGCGAATCGACCGAGAAAAATCGAATCAGGTACGAAGAATCGTTGTTTCACAGGAGATCCTTTGCTGCACGGAAGAATTTACACGGCACTGTTAGAAAAAGGTTCGAAGATGGAAGAGAAAAAAAAAAGAAAAAGAAACGTGCGAGCACGATAATCACGAGACACGCGTTCGGTCCTTTTCGCGTGACCGACCTGGAATCTCCGGGAGGAGAAGACGGAAAGAGAGATTCATTGCGGAAACGCGCACGCCGGTGAATTTTCGAAAGAGGAACGTGAGCGACGCCAGACCGCCACGATCGTCGATAGGCCGTTTCAACATTACCTACAAACTTACAAACTGCAGTAATGCGTGTACGTACATACTTATGTACCCATTTGTCGCGTCTCCTTTCATTTTCTTAATCGATACGTCGATGTACGAGGTACGCGTAATTCGCACGAATCCTGGCCATCGTTACGCATCGTCGTTGAATACGCTTCTTAATCTCTTCTTCTTCTCGGTTTTTTTGGCAAGCTTCGCGACACGATGGCCAGCCACGAGTTTAATTCGAATGTTATTACAAGCTTCGTTGCAAAATTACGCGCGGCCACGTACTACGTTTTTTTTTTTTTTTTTTTTACAGGTAACACAAAATCTAGTCTCCCATTAATTCTATTGAACAACGACTACGCTAGAGTACTGCCACCTTTTTTTTCTCTAACTCTACCATTAACAACATTAACAGCAACAACACATAATATATCAACATGAATATAATATCTGTTCTCGTAACCTAGTTCCTTCTGTTTTCATTTTCTTTACACTTATACGCTAGATACGTGTGTGGTATACATAGAGCGTACGTTAACACAGCTAACGGATACACATGTTCTCCAAAATGACACGTTCGATTTGGCGCGCGAGACGTACGCGTTATGTATATCACAGGAATATAGGAAGAGGACGAATAACGCGGTTCGTCCACAAGCGAATACGCAATATATTCGTAAAATTGGTTGCGCGCGCGGAGAAACGAAAAAAAATATATGTATGTATATATACATATATATATACGTTCGAAGGAAATGCGTCGCGCGAGCCGTGAAACTCGACGAAGACTCTGCGGAGGACAACATGTTTTTGCACTGGCCGGCTCGCGCTCCAAGGAAAATTCAGCCGGGAAAGCGCGAGACCAAAAGTTGTGTGATGTTGTTTTGCGCCGAGACCGTAAATATACGAACAATCAAAACGCAAATTTGCATTCACGGCCGTCTACGTTCCTACGAACGCCGTATTACGCGCAAATTAACAACATACCGTTGGCTATTCGAGGAACAGGCTCGGCTCTTTTCATTCTGTACACCGTTACGATTATTCGTAAGCGTTTCACTCTTTCGATTATGTACAAGCGTTCGAATGTAATCCACGCCCTACGCATCGCTAGCGATACACATTTCTCTTCTATGTTTTTTTTTTTTTTTATTATCTTCTTCTCTCGCTGTGCGTCGTCTATCGCGAACAATTGTGCTTTTGCATCGAATCACGCGAATCTGTTTGGTATCGTAAGGATCAGCGATGCGAGAGGCGTGCATCGTTGCGACTAAATGATCGGAAAAACATCGACACACGTATAAACTTCGTATTATATATATATATAAACTTCCGATAATCTTGTACGAGTTAGCATAATGTACTATTGATTTTTCTCGCATTGGAACGCTAAAGGTAGTCGAATGGCTACCCTACTACTTAATTTAATTATACCCGCTTACACTTACGATATCGGATCTGTATTCTTTTTTTTTCATTTATTCTTAATAGATTATCACTGTTTTTTATTTCC